GAGGCGGCCGTTCTTGTGGTCGAACGCGGCGTTGACCAACACACGCTGTCGGTCCTGTTTCCCAGGGCCCATTTCCAAGGTTTTCTCCCAAGCGGTCGCCAGCCAAGAAGGCAACTGGCCTGCCTTCAGCATCGCGTTGAACTTTCGGGCCTTGATCCTGTTCTTGGTGGCGTCATTCTCTTCGCAGCCTCCAGCCTCCAAGGTCAGGTTGGGATCCATGGTCGGGTCTTCCTCTTTGAGAATCTCCTCCTCGCCAGCCTCCTCCCCACCCTCCTCCTCAGCGGCAGAGCCATCGTGCTCCGGCTTGGGCAGCCCATCCTTCCACTCCTCCTTCACCTCCTGCTTCTTGGGCTGAGCGCCCTTCTCCTTCGCGCCCTTCTCCTTCTTGGACGGAGTGGCCTTCTCTAGCGGCTTGGCGGCGGGGCGCTTCATCCCTGTAGCCTTTGGCTTGGCCTTGGCCTTCGCCTTCGCCTGAGCCTTTCCTTTGGGCTTAGGCTTTGGCTGCGCCTTGGCCTTTCCTTTGGCCTTGGACTTTCCCGTGGCACCGGCCTTCGCCTTTGGCTTGGCATTTGCATCCACCGCCGCAGGCTCACTTGATTGGCCATCGCAGTCACCGGTGTTGGATGCGTCCTCATCTGTGGGCGGCATAGCTCAGGTGGCAACACGAAGGCACTCTTACAGGCAGCAGCTAGCAACAGGCAACGATGCAAAATAATGTTCGGCGATGACCCTGAAGCACATGTGCCACATGTAACATTTGCACAGATCACAAGTCACATTTGCACAGGTCACAAGTACAGGTCACAAGTAACACATTTGCACAGGTCACAAGTAACATTTGCACGGATCACAACTAACATTTGCACAGGTCACAAGTAACCTTTGCACAGGTCACAAGTAACATTTGCACAGGTCACAAATAACTTTTGCACAGGTCACAAGTACAGGTCACAAGTAATGCACAGGTCACAAGAACATGTGCACAGATCACAAGTAACATTTGCACATGTCACAAGTAACATTTGCACAGGTCACAAGTAACATTTGCACAGGTCACAAGTAACATTTGCACAGGTCACAAGTAAGTTTTGCACAGGTCACAAGTAACATTTGCGCAGGTCACAAGTAACATTTGCACAGGTCACAAGTAACATTTGCACAGGTCACAAGTAAGTTTTGCACAGGTCACAAGTAACATTTGCACAGGTCACAAGTAACATTTGCACAGGTCACAAGTAAAAACATCCTAGGCACTTCTACGGTATATAGTACCTAGGATGTAAAGGGGCATAAACAAGCATCATAAGAGAATAAACTTCAACTAAATACAAGTAAGTCAGACTCAAGCCAGCAAATCCCGAATGATTCAGGCTCAAGCAAGCCTACCTCGAGTCGTCGTAAACAGGCACAACTGCAAGTCAACCACCGCAAAGCCGATCTCAAGCAACCATGTGCACCAACCACATGTAAGTGCATTTCAGGCAAACAAACTCAAGCAAACCAGTTGCAAGTGACCTTGGCACAAGTGCATCCATGGCACAGCTCACAGCAAAGCACCCCAGACACAAGTGAACTCCAGGCTGGTCAACCAGTCTCAAAGAATAGCTTTGTGTTCTGGCCCTGGGATGGTTCCATTTGGAGACTGCGTGCTGGCACTGGGTAGTTCAAGGAAAGAGTTCTGTTGGGCGATGTGGCTCATCATGGTTTACTTGCGGCGCGTAACATTTGATTTGCAACGCCCTTAAAGACAGATGTGTCATGCGCACTTCAATGTGGAGTCCAGCATCATGGTCACAGGAATTCGCACAGGCTGCAGATAGCCGGACTCCTAGCGCCTGAGTACTGGCATTGCTGTAAGTTCCAGCAATTGCTGAAGCATATGGCTGAGATGAGCCTTGTCGGGCCAAATATTTGAGGCAGGCATGTTGACAATGGTGGTGAAATGGTGATGCGATGGTGATGCAATGTTGGTGCAATGTTGGTGCAATGTTGGTGCAATGTTGGTGCAGTTTTGGTGCAGTTATATAAACTGCACCAACATTGCACCAACATTGCACCAACATTGCACCAACATTGCACCAACAATGTACCAGCATTGCATCACCATCGGGCACCCCGCGCATCATTAATTTGAGGTGGTTTGCCCAACGAACTACGATTCTGCATGAGGGAACTGCCCAAATGCTGGCGCGTTTTAGCACAATTCCCCGAGTGACAAGGAGGGGCTCAGTGGTCAGGAGCTGGAAATGTGCAAAAAATGTAAGTGGCCTCGACTAGTCACAAGGAAATGGCGCAACTGTTGCGTGCTCTCATCACAAGTAATCGGCTCTCAAGTGGACTTTTCTCATGCTTTCATCTCTCGTCCTCTCATCACAAGTAATCGGACTCTTCGCATGCTCTCATCTCTCGTGCTCTCATCACAAGTAATCGGACTCTTCTCATGCTCTCATCTCTCGTGCTCTCATCACAAGTAACCTGCTCTCAAGTGGACTCTTCTCATGCTCTCATCTCTCGCTCTTTTTGTCAGCGTCTGGCGCGGAGCATCTGTCTGCCGAGCTCGCCCAGAAGAAAGGTGATCCCACTATCCCGGGATGAGCTTCGTCGCCTCCGCCTTCTTCGGCTCCGGCTCCTAGGCGTCCCCGAGCGGCGCCGCCTTCGGCGTGACCGCGAACGATGCGAACGGGCTGGAGCACTGGCTGGCGACTCCTCCTTGACAACCACGCCGCTGCCCGCACCCTCCTCCTTCTCCTCATCAACCTTCTCCTGATCGACCACCTGATCCTCCTGCTTCGTCTCCTCATCCACCACCTGTTCATCCTTCTCCGGATCAACCTCCTGTTCCTTCTCCTCATCCACCGCCACCGACTCCTCCTCATCAACCTCCTGTTCCTTCTCCTCATCCACCACCACCGACTCCATCTCATCAACCTCCTGTTCCTTCTCCTCATCCACCACCACCGACTCCATCTCAGAGTCCGTCTCCTCGCTCACATTTGAGCTCACAGGGCTCGCGTAGCCATCATGCCCGCCAAGAGCATCTTGAAGAGCGCGGCCAATCTCTTCGTCCTCCAAGGTGTCCTCCTCACCATCGCCATCAGCCGCGCCAAGCAAATGCCCCCGAGCGGGCGGAGGAGGAGGCAGCGGCCCAGCCCAAGGATGTGCCTCGGTTGACAGGCTTGCCGCAAGTAATGCTGCTGAAGTTGCACAAGTAAAGCGAGAACCTGTCACACTCAAAAGTGTTGGTCACGAAAATCAAAGACAAGCACTATCTCATAGCAAGCAGATCACAATTGCCCAGAAAATAGCCTTCCTGTCCCAACTGTTGTTTGGGTTGAACAATGATAAGAACTTCTTGCTGGCACGACACCTTGGGCGGTGCCCACTTGGGGATAGCGCCAGTGACACCGTGAGTCGGTGGTGGCGGCGGTGGGGCGGGCACACGTAAGGCAGAGGGAGCCAGCGGCACAGGTAAAGGCGCCACATCTCGTCCACGAGCCGGGGGCGGCAGCGCAATCGACGGCTCCAACGGCCGGCCACTGCTGCTGAGTTGCTCCTGATGCGGATTCGCCAAAATGCAGGAGATGCCGTCGTTCATGCTCTGCTCCTGCAAAGGATTTCAAATGATTTTCAACGCCGAGTCCATCAAGTTTCTCAAGGAAAAGTCTATCACCACGTAAGTCACAAGTAATCGCAAGTAAAAACACCTCGAATTACGGGAGATACGGGGGCGCATGACATGTGCAAACGTGGTTCAAAGCACCTGACGAGTTCTTGCTTTCAAGAAAGCATCGATGTTTCAATGTGCTTCAAAACGCATGCCTGGTGAACACCAATCTGCAAACGCGAGCCCCGTCACAACAAACACTTCTGCCAAGGCGCATCCCCGAAGATGAGAAACATGCTCATGTGCTCCCCCTCGTTGCGGCTGTCGCTCCAGCGCCCCCTGCACGTCTGGATGCTCACCAGGTTGTAGCAGCCCATGCCCTCCAGCGCCGCCCGGATGGTCCACTTCCCCAGCGAGTTCCGCACGTTCCGGACGTAGACCCTGAAGCGGTCATCGGAAGCCATGGCGACGCGTGACCTGCTCGAAAGGCTTGGGTTGTGCTGTACTGATGGGTTGGTCAGTTGGCAGATTGTGGATTGCTTGTCATGTGGTGGAACTGGTTTGTTGAGGTGGAACTGGTTTGTTGAGGTTGTGGTGTACTTGAGGTTGATGCAGCTGCCACGTGTTTACCTGAGATAAGATTTCTTCTGGTTGGTTTGCTTGCTCTTCCTTTACTTGCGGATCCTCACAGTCTGGGATTAGATTTCAGGCAATTGGTGAGATTCCTTGTATGCTTCTTCTTGGTTGCATTGGGCTTGGAGTTAGTGAGCTTAGTTTACTTGAGATTGGATTACCTGTGATTGGTTGAAATTGAGTTGGATGCCTGGACAATGGTTTACTTGTGCCTGGGATTGATAGGTTTACCCGGGTATTGGGTTTCTTGACGCTATAGTTTACTTATATCTGTGGCTTAGCTGCACGCCCTCTCTAGATGCATTTTGTGCAAACAAGGCCGGCGCGGGTGTGGGAATCTTCGCACAATCCACACAAGTAAAGCGCACAATCCACAAGAGTAAAACGTCCATTTACAAGTAACTTTCGTTTTCTGTGTGGGGCCCTATAGTGGTCATGGCCAAGTCACCAGACCCCTCGCAAGTAAAACGTCAGGCAAACATTGTGCAAGCAACACCGATGTCACGACCGAAGGGGTTGGCAAGCGATGCGGCTGCTTCACAAGTAAAACAGAGGCGGCTGCTTCACAAGTAAAAGCGAGGCGGCTGCTTCACAAGTAAAAGCGAGGCGGTTGCTTCACAAGTAAACGCGAGGCGGTTGCTTCACAAGTAAAAAATGGGCGGCTGCTTCACAAGTAAAAGCTCCACATCCATCGCAAACGTCACAAGTATCCACTTCACAAAAGCCCCCGCGTTACACAATATCTTTCTTGCAAAAGTGGGCTTCACAAGTAACGGCTCCAAGGCAGGCTGCCGCGAGGTTTTCCATCAAAAACCAAATCCGGCTGCTTGTGCTCTAGCGGCTCGAACCACTGCCGCTGGCACCGCCGCTCTGCACAGTGGCGTCGGAAGCCGCCTTCGACTTCTTCAGCGACGCGGCGAGCGGCAACCCGGCAGCATTCATGGCATCCACCTGCTCCCCCGCCTCCTTCCACATCGCAGGGGTTGGGTGAGGGCTCTCGAAGCAAACGCGCCGTCGGCAGCTCGGCCTCATCATCAGCCGCACCAGCCGCGCCAGCCGCGGTGCTCTCCATGGCTGCCCTGGCTGCCTTCGCAGCCGCATCGGCCTTGCGCATCCGAGCCCGCAGCTCCTCCTCCGGGAAGATGCCCACCAGCTCTTGCAGCTCTGGCGGCAGCGGCTCATTCTCCTGCGACATGCCTGCGAGAGGGGTGCCTGGGGACAGATATGCTTGTGAGCAAGTAAAATCTCTAGAAATGAAAGCTGATGAAGCACCACCTCGCGACAAAGAACGCACAAGTAAGGCAGTCGTACAGAACTGGTGCTCCCAAGAACAACATGAGCTCACAAGTAAAATCCTTACGTAGGGCGCTGCTCCAAGGGCGCCAAAGTTCACAAGAAACGCCGAGAGTCGCAAGGACAAGGCCGCCGCACTTACAAGCGTCAACGGTTCCAAAGTAGAACTCTAACCCTGCAGGTGCTGAGTGAGCATCATGCCTTGCCCGTACATGACAGAAGTCGAAAACAGAAGCTACTTTCTCGACCCGCAAGGTTCGCATTTGACACCACTGTGGGGCACTTATACGATACCAAATGTATCTAGACGTGCTGGCACGTCGACCCACCCACCCCAAATGGCACAAACACCGTATAAAGCGGTCCATAAGCAGGCATCAGTCAACATCTTTCAGGTCGTCCAAGAACTTCTCCCGAATCATCTTCAAGTCAGCGGCGTTCTTGCCCCGCTGCACCTCCGGCACCAACCGGCGGCACAGCTGCCGGTGGTAGGTCTTGTCGCAGCTGCCAATGATCAAGCGCCACTTCTTGTCAGACTGATTCCATTGGCGGATGTAGGATTTCTCCGAGTACATCTCGAGCTTGCAACTTCCATAGGTTGGGCGCTCAAATTTGAAACTGGACACGTCCTCGGGAATCTCAGCCAAGGTCAGCAAACCCTGTTCCTTGCTGGGCTTCTTTGGGGAAGCCTTCTTGCGGGCATTCTTCTTGGCCATGTCTTTGGCACTACTCTCCGTCTTCTCCTTCTTAAGCACCTTCAGTGTCTTGCTTTTCTTCTTCTCAGTCAGTTTCTTTTTCTTCTTCTCTGACTTTGACACCTCGGGAACAAAGGCGCCGGCGTCCGCAAGTAACGCATTCTCCGACAAGTCATGGCTGCTGAGCTTCTCCACGTCCATGGCAAGGATCTTCGCAAAGATCGAAGGTGGTGTCTTCAAAGACCAGGAGCTTGAAGTTTTCATGGGCTGAAAAATGACGAGGTCACCTGGCATTGGCGCCGCCTGGATTTCCTGACCACTGTCCTCCTCCCCGCCTTTGATCTGGCTCTCAGGGCAGTACCCAGGAGGCAGCTGGAGCTTGTCGAGCGCGATTTCAAGCATGACCTGCTCTTCCCTCCCCAAAATTCGCCAGCACTTCGATCTCAACTCCTCGTTCATCTTCAGGGTCCTCAACATGGCCAAGAGGATTCTCACTGTTGTGTCAAGCCTGTCCATGGTCGCCTGGGGTTGCCAGTTAGGTGGCAACCACAGAACCTTGTTCTTGCACAAGATGTCCAAGCTCGACAGCACTTTCTTCGAGGCAAGCTTCGAATTCGGGGCAAGTGCCAAGAGGTCGTACAAGAGGCCAGCCGTTTTGGCCAGCCACTGAGGCTGGGGAGACGTCTGCCATGAGTACGAATGTGGCCCAGAGGGCGGCGGGCATATGAGTGCCCAGAGATCCTCGCTTTTGTGGTGCTCCAAGTACTGCCGGAAAACTTTGGCCAAGTCAGCCACGGAAGTCGTAGGGTCTGCCACCAAGCGAACCTTTGAGGAAAACGATTGCCTTTGGGCCTGGCCACTTTGCCGTTTTCGCTCTTCAAGGATGAGGCTCAGGGCAGCCATTGCAGCAACACAGCCTATGTAACGGCGTAGCTCAGGCAAAATGCACTCCGGGGCAACAAGCAGCGTCTAGCAGCCTCCCTCGCCCGCCGAAGTAAATCTAAAGCAAGTGCATGAATGGAGGTCCGACATCCTTCCAACTTCCAAGTAACTTGTGCGTCCACAAAGGCCAAAAATCCTTCAGACTCTTTCACAATAACGTCACACACTGTTCCCATAAGTAAGCTGGGCCACTGGACCCATAACCATTGCCCATGCAGACCGGCGAGCAATAACACGACCGGCAAAACAATCAGCGTTTCTTGTCACACAAGTAAGCAAACATGACCCCCGCGCCTTTGTTTCTTTTTTTCACTCATTGCACAGCCTCATCGCCCGTTGCAGCGAAAAAACGCAAAGACCTGCTTCTCTTCCATATTCACATCGGATACCAAAACTGCCACGACAGAATTGCTTCTGAACTCCATCGCGATCACATGAAAATGATAAATCGACTCGACTCGCAGTGCAAACGTAATATCCCGCAAAAGCGCTGACACTGGCCCAGGATCAACGTCCTCCCAGTACTCCATGGGCGGCGGCTCCTGGCCTTCTAGGCTATCGGTGTCTATCCCAACCGCCCAGGCCGCAAATATCCAGCCGCTCATGATACCACAAGCTGTGTGTTAGCCAAAAAAGCTGCAATCACAGGATGTAAGCGCACAGCCTTCAAAGCCAACCGCGGTTCTTTGTGGAGCTGGGAGCAACCATGTTCTCAAGTAAATCAACCGCGACATGCGCACGTAAATCAAACGATTCATGGGGAGCTCGAGCGAGGCAAGACCATGTCTCAAGTAATGCACATTGTTCAGAAACATGTTCCCGCACTACTCAGTGCTAAGAAAAATGTTTGGACTCAGGAAAAATGCGTTCGAGGCAGCTCACGAAACACACCAAACAAATACTGAAAAATACTGCTTTTTTTTTTTTTTACTAGTAACGAAATTTACATTTACTACTAAATTTATTTACTAGTAAATTTACTTTACTTGGCCTAGTAAAATGAGATTAGTAAATAGTAAAATTTAGAGTAAATCGCTGCCATACTAAATTTACTACATCTGCAGACTTAGGGCACAAGTGGGCTGACCACATGATGATCACCTACAAAGGTGTCAACCCCTTCGGGCAGCCCGGCCCTACGTGGCGCACAACACCAACTCCAGACTTCAGATGCCCAGACCAAGTCAATGCCACAGAATGGCAAAGGAAACTTGAGACCGCCTGGACTCAACACAAGCCGGCACCCGACCAGAACACCTGGGAGGACTACATGCAAGCCCTGCATGCTTGCTACAGACAAGCACTCGGCAGCGCAGCGCCACAGCCGCAGCAAAGCAGCAGCCTCAGCAGCCGCAGTACCAGCAGCAGATGCAACTGAGGAAGGCCCGGCGATGCCACAAGCCTTCTCAGCCCACCTTCTGCCAGGTGCACACCCACCACCGCCCCAGCCCCGGCAACCACAAAACAGTCCGGCTAGCCCGCCTCCGGCGGCTGTGGCGGCGCCAGCAGGAATACTGGAAACCTTCGCCCCGCCCGAACTTGGGCCTGCGGACGAACCTGCAGAGAGAGGGTAGCGCCCTGGGTTGCCCTTTCTCCTTGACCTGCAGCCACAGCCAAGCGGTGTGCGAGGAATGGACCAGCAACGCCATTTGCATGGAGGAAGAACAGCTCAGCCAAGCCAGGATCAACGCCTGGAAGCAACGCCTCAGGAGCAACCCCAAAGAGGTGTGGAAACGCCTGGCCCGCCACAAGACCAACCCCCCTCTCACAGCAGTCAAATGCCCCAACACGGGCAAACTCGTGACCGGCGAGGAGATGACCAACCTCCTCAAAGCCTACTGGGAGGGCATCTGGCCCCACCAGGACTGCAACCAGCAGCAGCGCACCTGGCCCAGCAAAACCAATGGCCCAACCAGCCCCCGCTGCAGCTCGATGACCTTACACCAGCCAAGCTCAGAGCCACAGCCAGAGAGCAAACACACAAGGCCCCAGGCCCGGACGGGTGGACGGGCGCCGAACTGGTGCACCTGCCCAATGACGCTCTGCAATGGGCTTGCGTGGTGGAGCAGGGCCGTCCGTGGCCACAGCAGCTCAGACAGTGGAAACAAACCCACTTGCAGAAGCCCAACAAGAGCCAAGGCGACCTGGATGGGCTGAGACCTATCAGCCTCAGCTCAGTGTGGTATAGACTGTGGCCTGGCACCAGAGCCAAAGAAATTGGCGACTGGGTGGCCAGCAAGATGCCAGCTGAACAATGTTGAGGCATCAAGCGCCGCAGCATCCGCACGGCCTTGCTCCTGCCTCTAGCGCTGCTAGAGAAAGGCAAAACTGCCGGCGTGAGAGCCCGCAACCAACTGCGATACATCGGCAGCGCCGACCTGAGCAAGGCTTTTGATGCCATGCACCCACAGCTCTGCATAAGTGCCATGCAGAGACTCGGAGTTCCCGTCCAACTCACGCGGGCCCTACAAAATGCATGGGGGTCACAAAGCCGCTGGCTCTCTGCCGCGCAGCACACCAGCCAAACGCCGGCTAACCCGCTCTGCCTGCCCCAGGGCGATGCGTTCAGTCCGTTGGCCTTAAACACGGTCATTACGGAAGCACTCTTCCGGATCAAGAATGCCTTACGACAGGTCCTGGTTCACGTCCAATGCTCCGGCCTGTGCGGCCATCAGAGCCTGGCGAGCCGAAATGCACCTTCTCGGAATGGCCGAGAACAACACCAAAGCCGAATACGCCGCAACAGCAACAGCAGCACTTGCGGCACACACTCCAGAGCACGGGTACAAGAGGCACTGTGGTCGACAGACCCAAGCTCCTGGGAACCCGGCTCCAATGCACACGCGCCCACACAGGGCCAGCAGCGGACGAGACGAAACGTCTCAACACTGCCAAGCATCTTCTCATCGAGGCGGCTTCACTACCTGTGCCCGATGAGGAGAAGCTGGTCTTCGCAAAGGCCACAGGCATGGCGGTTGCACGCAGCTGCGGTTGGTCCCGGCTCCCGAACCTCGAGGAGCTCCGCGGCCTCCAAGCGGCAATCTGCCGATGCACCGGAAGGAAGGGGCCTCTTTGCAGACTCTTGGAAGGTCACGCCTCGTGCACCGCCTTCAGTGTGGGTTACCAGCAGACCCTTTGCCTTCTCGCTACGCTCACGCCCGAGGTCCGTCGATGCTGGCAGGACATGAGGCAGAACCAGGGCCCCATCCAACTGGCTCGCCGTTGGTTGGCACGACAAGGATGGGACACTACTACGCCGTGGTTGTGGGTCCACAGCTCCACCAACCTTCAGCTAGATGCCCGTGACGGGCCACAGCGCCCCACTGTGGGTTACCGCACTACACGTGCTCCAGGCAACAAAGCCGCCATAGCCCACCGCTTACGCCAGGGGTGGCGCGCCCACCAATGGCACAACTTCTGCCAGTCTGGCACCCGTGCAGCCGCCGCGCTTGGGCACATGGCGTGGACAGATGTGGCGGCCCGAGCTAAAGCAGCAGCTGCGCAATGGCGCCAGCAGGCGCCCCTACTCCGACCACACGTGATAGCCATCACAGTCGACCACTGGGTAAGTCAAGCACGGCTCGCCTCCAATAGTGGTCAACAAGTTATGCCGTGTCACTGGTGTGGACACGATAGCCCCTCACGAACTCATGAGTGGACATGCACTCAGCTGCGCACAAGCGATGCGCCCTTCCCAGACACTCTGTTCGCTACCCTGGGCTGGCCACGGCCCGGCAATGAGAGTGATAAAAAGCTCCTGGCAGAACTGGCACAGATCCGTCTGTGCATTTTGCAGCAGCGTTACCCGCCTGCCTGATGGCAGGCCGCAGCCGTGCAGAAAGCCCGTGTCAGGCTACTGCACTACAACTTCTTCTTCTTCTTGGTATCTTAGACGTTAGGGATGGGGAGGCGGGTTTTGCATTTTTCGGAGAGAAGGGCACTACTGGGGGACCTAGTCACTTCCCCAGAGGATGGCCCTAAAACAAGTTTCACCAAACTCTTGGTTTACCACTCAAATGGTCTTCCCAAGAAGTAAGCCCATGAACTCAGGAAGTGCGGGGGGTGGTGGCCCCTTCTACAGCCAGGGCTTCAACTCAAATCCAAACCGCCAAGGGACGGAGTGGGATGTTTCGCGCATAGGACAAGAAAGGTAGGCCCGCGTATTCAAGTTGGAAGGAGATGGGACAGCTGATCCCCGAAGTTGCGTAACATCTAACCAACAAACTGGAAACTCCACAGGCTCCCGTTCCTACAAAAAAAATTGCCGTCCACATAGTCATTGGGAGAAGTCCTTGGGAAACAGGGATGTCCACTGCTGTGATCCTCCCTCTTTGAGGGAGAGGATCCTTCATTTGGGATCCTTCTGTGATCCTCCCCCTCAAAGTCCTTGAGATTTCCTTCATTTGAGGGCGAGGATCCTTGCATCACAAAAGTAAGGTTGCATGGGCAAATCCATAGTGACAATCTCGCCCAATTCCATTGTGAAGTGGCGGGAACAACTGAAAACGCCCTTGCTCTCATTGAGGTCGGCCCGTGCCCTGCATGTACTGCATGCCCGGGGCTGCCAAAGCCTACTGGGAGCTAGAACTTTGACGACCCAAGTTCTAAAACTTCTCAACCCTTGCATTCCAGCACAATAGATTCTTTGCAACCCCCATACACAGGAAGAGCTGATGCTGCCCCGAAGTAGTTGTGAGAAAAGGGACCCCGGTGTTCACCGCCGAAAGTTCCAACTAGGCTGGCATCACCTTCGTTTTAGCAAGCTAGGGTTCTCTTTGTATTTCAATATCCAAGTCGCGTATCAATGGTACACAACACGGGGGGACTTGGTGTCCCTTATTATTGCAACCTGAAAAAGGGTACTGTATCTAACAAAACACACACACACACCTCGAGGGGTTGATTTTCATGCGTTTTTGGGGATGTGAAAGAAGGCTGCCAAGAGAGCTCTTTTTGTGATGCCCTTGTGATGCGTGTCAGAAGGCGGCACTGGGCTTGAAACAGGAACCATACCATTGTGCCCAAGACTCCCGGCACTACTGACCTGAGTTCTATCCAGCCAGAAACTGCGTCAATTTAGACCAGCCCAAAGACTAGCCAAAAAAGCAATGGGTTCGTACATGGACTCAGCCTTTTGCCCTTTTTGGGGGGAGGGTTCCCCTAGTGTTCTAGACGACAGACAAAAGTCGGTACCCTTATTCTAACCTCTCTACTGGAGGACCTAGATGGGACCATTTGGGAGGGAATCCAATCGTTTGGTGAAGCTTTTTTGGGGCTATCCACTGGAGAAGTGACCAGGTCCCCCAGTAGTGCCCTTCTCTCCCCTTTTTGCGGGAAGGGTTGCCCGGACAAAAAATACAAAAGACGGTACCCTTATTCTAGCCTCTCTACTGGAGGACCTGGGCTGTGTTCCTTGACTGAAAAACGGGCGGGACCCTCCTTGTTAAATCCGCTTGGGTGGAGGGCATTGGTTGAACTGTGGTGGTTGCATCCTGAGACGTGAGCCCACCAAGCCAAGCCGCACTCAGCGCCTTGCGGACGCCACTCGCCAGGAGAGCGTCTTCGTGAAGCGGCCCCAGGAGCCCTTGAAGATGAGCCGGGCCTCCCGGAGGACCAGTTTAGAACCGGGGCGTCGCATCTCTGGAGTCCCAAAACGAAACCGTTTTTTGTTTGTAGCCAAACCGGTTTTTGGGGTTGCCAAAAGGGGTAGCCAAAAGGAGACTCCTCCACAGATGCAGATGGTTTGTTGTTTTTTGGGTGCCATGTGTTCAGCAGTGTAATAATATGTGTTCAGGAGTGTGTTCGGTCACAGAGTGGGAATTGCAATAAAAGCCTTTCCAAGACTCCAAGACTCAAGTTTGCACTTGGGGGAGGCATGGTATGACAGTGGGGATCGAGCCCTCTGCACCCAGAACTTTGTTTGGCAACATCTTATCACTTTGCCCTTACGATGTTAGAAACGGTTTAACTCCTGGGCCTAGGGCACATTCAAGTCGCAAGTCTTATGTCTATGTTGAGCAAGAAAGCCCTAGGCTGGGATTCTTCAGTCAGTTTCTCCGGCCGGAGACTAGGCCATAGGAGTTCTTATTCGAAGAGCTTGGGAAAAGGAAGCGCCGGGAAGTCGCCCTAGCGCCAACTGTTTGATTCTCATCAGGCTTGCACCTGCGAACCAACGGACGGTTGAAGGCAGAATGGGGGTCATAGCGGGCCATGGATGTGGTGGTTCCCTGAGACTTAGACGAGGAGTCTCAGAGTTGGACGTTGCAACCCTTCGACAAGCTGCGCCCCAGGGGTGGTGGAGTCGTGGCAATTGCACAGAGGCAATCCGGCAGAGCCAAAACCGGCGATGACGCGGCTGGTGGCGGTTGATGATGTGATGAAATTGAACAAGGGATGCCATAAGCGCGCATCAAGCCGGATGCGCTCGTGACTTTGAATTGTCCAATAAATCCTTGTAAGCAACAGTGACCTCTTCAGCTTCGACAACTCGACCAATGCGCGGCGTGCACACACACAACATGAGGGAGCCCGTCAAAAATGGGTGTAGGCACAAATTCCGATGTAAGTGGATATCTGCCAAAGGAGCGCATCGCACCCAACTAACCAAAAAAAACAACAGTTGTGTGTGTAAGGCGTGCGCAAGCGTTGGCGTGTGCAAAGGTGTTCAGCACGGCTCAGTTGGTTTCACCCCTGGAACTTGTTTCCGCTTTTCCCGCACTAGGGTAGGAGTTTCCTGCAACTCCAGGCGGATGAGTCATGCGCAGATTGATTTGCCATGAGTCGACTTTTGCGGGGCCCGGGACCCATGGAGACGTCCTGTGAACTATGACTCTGTCCCCGTCCAGTGTATTATGACTCTGTCCCAGTGCTTCCTCTTAGTCACAACTGGCTTTTCTCTTCAAAACTGCTGAAAGAGGTATCCAGTGCCTTGCGATGGAAACCACTAGGCAACAAGAAGCTCGGATACCCCCCCCCCTCCCCATGGACTCGCTCGGAACTGTGAAGCGGAGCGTCTCTACCCTTCAAGGGGTTGCAAAGGAGGTTCAGGGGCTGCCATCATACCCACGTGCTTGGATTTGTTTGGAACGCCCGGCCGAAGAATTAATTCCTGTTGAAAGGTTTGGGGTTTGTGCATGAATTAGGAGGTGACCAAGCTTTGCACTCACTGTTGAAAACCCTGTCGAGTTGACTCGCGAGGCATGAAGAATGCGCAGTACGGCGCAATCCCCATCGCAGGCCGTCCCGCACCGGAGCGGCCAGGGGTTCATTCCCATGGCACTCCTGGCACTCGGCCTTCTTCCCACATGCAGTATTCTAGGGGTTGATTCCTTTTCCATTCTTTTCAGCCATCGTTCTTTTCAGAAGCCGGCTTCTTTTTTTTCCCCCTGGGGTTCTGATGGTTTTCTTGGAAAGAATGGGGAAGGTACCACTAGAATTACGGTTTGCATTCATTGGATATTGCGAGTTGAGATCCCTCCCCAGATCATCCGGAGACCTTTGTTCACGCGGGGTGGTACTGGCGCCTTCTGCGATGGTTCAGAGAAGTGGTCACGATCATTTTGCAGAGGCAGGCGTTTGCAAGTCCAGCAGTCACGCCTGGTGAGCACCACTCAAAGCCTGCGACAAGTCGACCTGTGCCGCATATATAAGATATATAATGCCAAGAGTCCATTGTGCAAGAGTCTCCTTTTCACCCTCCGATACGGGTAAGCAATTGTGTACTACCCACCTAGGTCCCCCTGTAGTGCCCGTTTGCCCATTTTTTCGGGAGGGTTTCTCTACTAAAATAGACAGAAAAAAGTTGGTACCATTCTAACCTCTCCACTGGACCTAGCGAAAGCCCAAGCTCCACGGGCCTTGGAGACTCCAGGATCGAGCGCGGCGTGGGTTTCAAATCGATCGGCTGGTCAAGCTGTGGCATTCGCTTCGCCGAGGCTTTGAGGCGTGGTGTGTTCCCCAAGAATTACAGTACGCAGTGCTGGCGTCACCTTGTCAGATTTTCTACCATCGACAGATCTAGCGACCCATCCAGCCTGAAGCTAGAAACAACATACCTCACAAGCTGCATGGTATTACTCACCATCAGAACTGCCAACATGGAATCGATATGATATAAAACCAAAGGCGTCTGCCCTTTACAAAGAGCATGTCACTGGGCGGCCTTAGGCGAGTGTGGCTGGGGCTGCTTGTTAGTCACGAGCCTTTCAACTGATCTCTGGATTTGATCCCTAGCACAGGTTTGGCATGGTCCCAAAGCATATGCTTATTGAAGGCTGCACAACCATGGTGTTGTTTGGGGGGGGGTTCAGGCCTGATTTCGAAGTCGCAAAACGGATTCCCTCGCCAGGCATTGGGGAAAACCCGATCTTTGGCAGCCCGTGCCCGAGCGAAAGGCCGAAAGGCCGAAGACAGCAATTCACGGACTCCAGAAATCACCGCCTTCGGAAAAGGAGGAAAACAACGGTACAAGGTTTCATGGGTTAATAAGCATTGGCTTGGTATTGGTTCAGCATTGGTTTAGTGTTAGTGCAGCACTGGTTAGTCCTGCGGTGGATGTGTTTTCATATTGCTTAGCAATTGCCAGTCCTGCTTGGGAACTGGCCTAGACTGGTTTTTTATTGTTGGTTTGGTACTGGTTAGTTCTGGTGCAAGACTGGTTGGTCCTGCTGAAGGGTTTGCTTAGTATTGGGCAGTGTTGAACATAGTATTGGTTAGTCCTGGTTTAGAGCTCGCATAGAACTGCTTCGATTTGGTTCGTACTGGTTTAGCGTTGATTTTCAGGGAATTAGTTTGCCGGATATCGCGGTGTATCCAAGTGGCTTCTAGGCCCGCAGCAAGAAGCCGGCGCTTTTGACGCAAACTGTACTGCGCGAAAAACTTTCAATTGGCCAAACATGTTTTCTCTCGCTGCTAGAGCCTTGCTTCATCTTCGACTCGCTAGGGGAGCTTTCATAGGCTATACTAATAAACCCGTGGGGCAGCTGAAAAAACGCTTGTACCTCTAAAGTTGAACGTCCGCATTTCTTGATACCCCCGGCTGTCTTGAGATGACTGAAAGGGCATTGTCGCTGCGGTCCGAGGCGAGCACGAGACCAACTACCCGCCCCGATACTGAGCCGCGCTCGGCACGGTGGCTTCGTTGCCAATACCAATCTGCCAGCAACCCTCAAAGACGCGGCGGGGTTGAGCTTTGGTTTGCATACCGACATATGACCACTTCCTCAAACCTAGATGTACTGGCTGGTGTCCCTTTGAACCAATCCCAAAAGGGCAAGCCTCCGTGAGAGGCACAGGTTCGGTCCAAATATTCAGTGGTCTACAGTCCATTTGGGAGGGACATTGGGCGACACCAGATGTCCACAGAATCCAGCAACGAACACAACAATTGGGACACGTCAAACTCCGGGTATGGCAGGAGAAGGGACAGCGCCAACCACAGATAAGTCAGGAAGCCTTGTTGATTCTTTCTCCGACATGGCTTTCTGGCGTTGGGTAGACTTCTTTATAGCACCATGCTCTGATTCTGGTTTGGTATTCAGTGGCAGCCTTTCCTCTTCTGAGTCTGTTCCCACCACCAAACACGGCAAACAGGACCTTCTTGTTCCAACACGAGGCAACTAACCTGCACCTTCGTGATTTGGTCAGTTGCACTGTTTGCAAACATGTTTCGTGATGGTTCCAACGTGCAAGCCCTTTCCACTCTTTGGTTGGCACGTAAGCACCACCCCCTTGGACTCAACGCCACCGGGAGGTAGAATCGAAAGCAGAAGCCTCGGCGCGGAAAAGGGAGCTACACGGGACCCCAACCGGGTGTCAGTTTAGAAGACAAACAGGAAACCAACCAAAAGGTAATGCTGTGGATGGACGAAATCCTGCACCACTTAAGAAGCGCTGGAATGATGATTCCCCTTTCAATAGCAACGGACAATGGTTTCCCATGTGCAACATGGATTTCGTCCATCCACAGTACCAAACCCGGGTCAGTATAACCCCACTGGATTCTGAGAGTCTGACAAGGGGATCTGGAGCACAGCTGGCAGAACACCGCCTAGGTGAAGTCCGGGCTGTTGCATGTCGAAATCCTGGGTTTCTTCCTAAATCAACCGGCCGGAGTTTAACTAGGTCCCCCAGTAGTGCCCTTTCTCACCAGCTTTTTTTGGGGAGGGTTCCCCTACTAAAATAGACTACAGCAAAAAGGGTACCCTTATTCTAACCTCTCTACTGGAGGACCTAGTATCACTCCAGTTCGCCCCAGCTACATGGGGTTTGTCTCATCAGGAACCCTCCCCACCTTGCACACTTTTAACAAGCCCGGCATGCAGGTAGGGCCCATGTTAAAGAAAACACGATCTGGTCGGGTCAGTTGCAACTTGAAACATGTCGTGCCATGTAATTTCCTTCTTTCCTGGCTGGTTCAAGCAGAGGGCAATATGTTTGGACTGTTGTTTTTCATGGTCCGCTCATGTTACATGTTTCTTAGTTGAACGGTGTCTTGTGCAATATGCCGCGTTCAGACTTGTTGATTCACGTGTGCAAGCCAACCCCCAATCAAAAAGCTGTGGCGCAGATGTCGGATTTGTTCACACGATGTTCCCAGCAAATGGATAGTGCGAAAAGCTTCAAATCGGAGCTGCTTTCCACGTTGAGGATTGCTTGCCTTTTGCATCTAATATCATTTATTGACCTTGACATTGCTGTTTGATTGCTACATGATTTACAAAGTTCATCGGGGCGGCGAGGCAGTCCTGTGGCCAACTTCCCTCCATCCGGGTTGCATGCATCAGGGCATTTTTAAACAGGAGAAATGTACAGGGCCCCCCCGAAAGGATGTGAGTAGTTTCCTCTTGCATGCCAGTTGCCAACGCGAAAGGTCACAAAAGGCCCACTCTCTGGATGTGGCAGGCTGTCAAGAATCGCTTTCGGGGCTTGTGAAATTGGGGACCGCCTGGGCTGCGAGCAAACGGTACCAGCCCGACTTGAGGAGGCGATATGTGTGATGCTTGAGAACGAACGTTCTCAGACAACAAACGTTTTCAGACACTAATACATACTTGGTGGACATAAATCCCCATGTGAATCATGTCCATTTCGGACCGGTGAATCACTTGATATGCGTTGATCGCCGCCCAGTCACTCGTGTTCGTGGGATGTAAGTCCAGCTGCATCACTCCATGCGCGAGCACCAACTGTTCGGTATCAATCTCATGTCCTTCAGAAGGCCATGCACAATTTGCAGAGCCACACGCTCCTGAGGCATGGCATCAAACAATTCCGCTGGAAGCATTCGGCCTCAACAAGTCATGCAGGCCCACCTCAGCCAGTGGAAGCAAGACTAACTCGGTAGGTGCAAGACTGAGATGCCTCAGTTCCCGCAAAAGGTTGCTACTTTTGTTTGTTTCAACTGGTTGCAGAAACCCCAGAGTGCCAGCATTCTAAGGCTTGGTTCCCCTTCTTCGACTTTGTTGTTTTGCGAACGCCACTCACCTGTCAGCTTGATCTTGTCTGCAAGGTGAACATCATGCCACACAGAACGGCAGGCAGCGCATCACGTGTTGTTTGCTCCCCCCAACGGCTCGCCGCGGACGTACGGGCATCGGCGAGCCGGGCAAGCCACATTTCGCGGATGATTTGATTGACGTCCGGTGCCCAAGTCTCTCACCGCAACTAGGTCCCCCAGTAGTGCCCTTTACCAACTTTTTTGGGGGGAGGGTTCCCCGGTTCCCCTACTGAAATAAACTTCTCACATCTCTACTGGAGAACCTAGGCAATTGTTTAGCCAGCGCTTCCAGTATAAACACACCTGGCTACTCGTAATTTGTCCACCTAGGATTAACAAATGCACCCGGAAGAAAGACAAACGGTGGACATGACCTACATTTTAATGGGGCCGCACCTCCCCCAAGAGTCTATGGGACTAAGGTGGATTTATCCAGGAATGTGCTCCACAATGGAGACTATTGGGGCCTGTTGCAGCAATGTGTGGAAAGGCCCTAAGGTTTCTGACACATGAACTTGAGGTGTGTCTTCAGCCAGCGCCCTTCCCGTTTCAGACAGTTTAGGGTCCCCCATGAGAACCCTTGGATCCCTCAAACCTTAGCGGCCTCAAAGGTTTTGCCTGGGTGTGGGTACCGGAGCCTTGCAGCCTTTGGATGGTCGCATGTTGGTTTTCCTGGAAGTTCTTGATTGGAGTATATGATCTGGGTGTAAGGCCTCTTGGGGGTGACCAACCCTGTTGGTTGCCTGTTGCTTTGGCCGAAATGTTTCTTAGTGATTGTCGTTTAAACATGTCAGACGTTTTTTCACTGGCTAATCATTTTTGCAGGGGGGGCAAAGAGTGATGAAAGTGACATGCCCAGGCAGCCCGAGCGGGGTCCACTCGTTTTCAGAGAATGGGAGATGAATTCTCAGGGATGGGCAAAGATGATTCGGGAAGTTAGCAAGGACCCAGGGATGGGCATTGGGCTCCTTCGAAGGGTCACCAGTTGGCATCCGTGTTTCGAGTTGAGGCAGTTCTGCTCTCTGTACCGTGGGTGCCCCTGGAAGTCCGCATCCTCCAAGGCCACAAGTAGCCATGCCAAAAGGCCTGCCAAAGCATTCCGATCCCGAAGGTTCCCGACTGTCTCAAGGTCTAAAGGTAAACTCTAGAAGGCAAGGCGCGACGCACATCAAGGGCCAACGGTTGGGCTATTTGGTTCAGTCTACTATCTCTGCGTGTCCAGTCCCAAGAGGAAAGCCCCACTTAAAGCGTATTGACCTTTAGACGTTTAGGTTGGCAAGATTCCATTTGATTCGCTCGTTTGGCGCGAGATCTCGGATACAATCATCAAGCGTGCCTGGGTGTTGCTTAGAGCCCGCTTATGACAAGCCATGTTTGGGCAAAAAGTGTGAGGTCTGCGGAAGGGGCTGCTGAATCGGCAGGGAGCAGTTTCACTGGGAGATGCATTCCAAAATGGGACGGTTGGGATGGTGCCTTTTTTGCCCTTGGTGGAAGCATGTGGAAGCACTGTGTTGTGGGGATAGTTCGCTCAGATTTCAATTGTGATGCACCGTGCGGCCTTTTCGGGCTTTTCCAGTGGGAACGCGATGTTGAAAGGCTGCTTTGCGCGAAATCTCCCCCCCCATGCAACTCACTTAGGGCTGAGTCACTAGATGCATTTGGCCTTTAGCGATTGCATCCACGGGGCAAGAGGGACCCAATCCATGATTCACGCGATTGGGTTGCAGAACATCTGTGGCAGTGGGTTTACTGCTGGATTTGTTTTATATATGTAGCCCAACTCTGAAGCCTTTTTTTTTGAGGGGGGAGGTGTTATATGGGGCACAAGCTATGTCGATCCCATTTTGGGGTGGATGAACATCCATTTGCCACCTTTGATGTTCACCAGGGGTACCATTGGTTTTGACCCGCAGCCAGATGACTTCTGCTGTTTCAAATTCCCTCGTCGAACATTTCCATGGTTTGAACATCTAGGTCCTCCAGATTTGAGAGGTTAGAATAAGGGGTGGCCTGCTGTAGCCTGCTAGGGGTCTCCCAGGGCGTCTTCCAGGGCTCGCCGCCGGGCCCAAGGCGCAGGCGTGCATGCCCCGGGCCAACATCTTGTGAGGGGCCCAGCGGTCGGCGCTTCAAGGAAAGGGCGAGGGATGTGCCTTGAGCCTAGCCCCCAGCTAGGTGCCCCTTTTACCGTTTCTTGCTTGGTTGGGAGGTGCCCTAGTAAAATCGACTACAGAAAAAGTTGGTACCAACTGATTCTATCCTCTCTACTGGAGGACCTAGTTAAGCACATCCGGGATCTCCTTTGAAATGATTTTGCATGTTAATTCAGATTCACTGCATATGGGCCAGTATTAAATGTCTTTTTGGGTTGGAGGCCAAAGTTGTGGAAATTGGGCAAGGCCACTGTCCTTTGGCTATATAAGAGGCGGGTATTTGCCGTGTTAGTAACCCTAGATGGTGTTGAAAACACTGTGCCAGGCTTTTCATGTGAAAACCTGGATACAAGAAGGGTGCTCCCCTAGTGATTCGATCAATCTCCGCTTGAGTCAGATACGCTGATTACTCAAGTGGGGGCATATTGACCAAGATCATCAAACCAAGACCGTTCCTTTGGTCAGCGGTCCCTATGCGAACTGAGGACCCTTTGCCATTTTGGGCCACAGCAAACCCTCAGGCTGAGCATTTGGAGGGCCAGTAAAAAATCAGCCAAATCAATCTGACCCAGGGCGCTCCAAAAGAAATTCAACATGGATCGGGCCACCCACTTGTCTCATGCGAAAGCTCTTTTGCTGACGCACGTGTGGTTTCCCTTTTACAGGGACCTGGGATTGCTTCTTTGCACCATTGCGCACCTCAAACCATTTGTCCCTAAAAGAAACGCGTTAGACTATTCTTATTATTATTATTATATTTTTATCATTATTATTATTTATTATTATTATTATTATTGTTATTATTATTATTATTATTTTTATTATTATTATTATTTTATTTAATTTTTCCTTTTCGCCTATCCGGCAAAGCGGGCAACGAGTTTCTCATCTGAAGTGTCCGGTTCCCGACCCCCGCCAAAAGTTGGTTTTCCTTTAGATTGGTGTTTGAAGCATCTTGAAGAGGGACTCTCAAGACTCAAGACCGACAGCCCCAGATTTGCTGACTGCTCATGTTTCATGGGAGACCACCTGATGTTTCATGCTGACTCTTTGAAGCCGTCCAATGAGTCCATATTGGTGTGGGTCAAGATTAAACCACCAGGGGACCGCAGGTTTTGGTCCATGTTGGGTAACTTACCAGGGTTTCATTTTGGATACCTATTTTTGACCCGCAGCCATAGTGTTTCGGCAGTTCTCAAGAGCATCTCATTATTTTTCCCATTGAGATGCACCCACTGAACAGTCGGTCGTGTTCAGCAAGAACCCCTAGTTCCCAAATGTTAAGGCCCTATGGTTTGCCTTCACAAGCCTTTTTAGGCCAACACTGTTTGGAGGGGATTGTAGGGTCGCTGGTTTTTTCCAGGAAATGATTACTTCTGAGTTAAGCTTCAAATTCAGTGCTTTGCGTCTCATTACGATACAATTGGACGCTTGTGGACTTGAGGATGTGTTGATACGGATGCATTGACCCCAAGCATTTCAAGCCAGGCGTGTGGAGGCTCAATTCCTGGGATCGGATCCGTGGAAGATTTTGGAGCACGGCTTAAGTGGCTCCACTGGTTGGCGGTTTTTACCATGTTCTGAAAGGCTAGGTCCCTTGTGTTTTCAGCAGCTCTCGGGTCTCTGCTCAGATCAGATCAGTTCCGGAGCTGCTCCGACCTGGTGCGGGCAAGTGTTCCGGAAAGGTTTCGGGGGTTCTTCGGGATACACTCCCTCAGACTAACATGGAAGCTCTCAGAAGGCCTCTGTAAATGGAGCCAAGTCCTCCGACGGGGTCCTGGGAGCTTCCTTCTTACTCTGGGGGAGGGTACCACTCATCTGTTTTGGGGGGGGGGGGAGGTTCGCACTGAGTGAAACACAAAGAGCCTGCGCGCCCTGCAGCTCCCTTCTGAGGTTTGCGCAGCACACGGAGCAGGCCACGGAGCATGGCGCCCACAAAGCCACAGCTGTTTTAGCGCCAGGTGGGTATGGGTCAAAATTAAACCACCAGGATATGGACCTAGTCCATGTTTCCCTTTACCAAGGTTCCATTTTGGGTGCCGTTTTTTGACCCACACCCAGGTGCTATTGCCTTGGCATTTTGGGGGTGATCAGAAGGTTCTAAGGAGTTTGTAATTGCAAACCCTCGGAAAGTTGGTTCACGCACAACTTTCTTCGCGGTCAGGGGACCCCGATAGGAAGAATACTTAAAAAGGGGTCCAACAGATTAACACCGTATTTTGTTAGGGGCTTGAGCAGACAGTTTTACAATCCAATCCAAAGAGCTTCCTTGTGTTCAGCATGGCTGTTTTGTTTGAGGCATCATACTCTTTTGTCAGACTCATTTAACAGGCAATCAACGTGAAAAAACACGTTTGTTTTTGGTTGCGCCACAACCCCTGATCTCTGTCTGCAGTCGGTTTGACATCGTCAGTTGATGTTATTTGTCTTAAGCCGACCCAACGGGTTTCCTTTCTTATCATTTCTAATTTCGCACTTTTGTTTGGAAATGCAAGCATGCCCGCAAGGACTTGATGTTTCACACGCCTTTGGACAACTACATTCTATTGCATGTTGATTCCCTTGCTCACTATCAAGGTTCAGCTCGCTTGTGAGTATCCCCACATCTTCTGAGCATTCGCAGAATGCCGCTGATCTGCTCGAAATGTGTGGCGGAAGTCGGAGCGGCCCTTTCTTTCAAGGGCCTTTGTATTTTACACTGGGAGTACACCCTTGGACATTCCCCGGGCATAGTCTGAAATCGCCAAATTGTTATTTGAGGCAGTCTTAGACACGTTCTTTAAGGTGTCTGTGGCTGGTTTGTGAGGGATCTCAAATCAGAAAAACTTGTGTCTCTCCATGTGCCCTTGTGGTTTCTTTGAGCAATATTGAGAATCGCAGAGTATTCCGCAGCCATGGACACTATCAAAGGGTTGTGTTACAGGAAATTCTACAGGAAAACAGCTGATTTTTGGTGTTTTGGGGCCATTTCCTGTACTTGCTGCGTGGCGAAAGTGACAGACAAGGACTTCGGCGCATCTCACACGAGGAGGTGCGTCGAATTTAAGGTGCGCGGCCATTTCCTGTAGATTTTCCTGTAAGCCAAGCCTTTGACACCATGAACATGTGCCCTCTTTCTGCATCAGGATGATGAGGTGCTGGATTCACGCAGAGCCTCTTGCGAGAAGGCACGCTTTAGCCGTCTTGAGAAGACGCAAATGGGTTTGCTTCCTGAGGGAACTCTCTAAACTGGTGGATTTCCGTTTGGTTTCCCTTCCCATGGGTCAAAATCCAAATCGTTAGCCCCCAGTGAACATCAACCAATCCCACAAAAATGGGTTCCAAAAATGGGCGGTGAATTGACCTACCAACCAACATGGGATCCCAAAACGGTTTTGACAACCACAGCCACATACCCAAATATGGCCTGGTTCAGAAAGCCTCGAAAATCGACCACTTCGGGTCTTTTTGGGGAAAGGGGCGCAGGTTGTAGCGGGATCATCAGAAAAGTGGAGTACTGGTTCACTTTTCGCGAGACCCCATGTAGCACTCAGAGGTTGCAGAGGCACCAGGCAGGTTTCTTGTAGCATGGTGTTCTTGGAAGCAGCCATTCTCCGTCTTTCCAATGATCAGCCTTCTGGCATCTTGATCACCTGATATTTTTGGTCGAGGCTGCGTTGCGATCGGCCTTTGGTGTGACCTTGCGCCGCTTAGATGAGCAGGGCTCAAGACCACTTTGCATTGCCTAGGTCCCCCAGTACTCCCCCCCCTTTGCCAGTTTTTTTTGGGGGAGGGTTCCCCTACTAAAATAGACTACAGACAAAAGGGTACCCTTATTCTAACCTCTCTTCTGGAGGACCTAGTTGCGATTGCGGGTGGTCATAAGGGCCCCCCGCGCAAGGCAACTATGAGACGACGTAAGGCCGCGTAAGTGTGTTGCGCAAGTGCAAAGTGGCATGGTTGATCGCGTATGCTACCCCCCGTGCTCGCGTAAGCCTGTGTAAGCACCTCGGCGTTAGTAAGACTTCCTCACGACTCAGATGTGCTAATGTTGACCCCGGATTAATAAACCCCAGTCTATTAACATGGGGTTGTCCCCTCCAAAAGGGATGATTCCCCACTAAAACCAGGGACACACACACACACACACCCCAAAAAATAGAAACCGTTTCTTTGTTTAATCTGGGGTCGACATTGTGGGATTGTTCATCGAGCCTGCGGAAGGTAAGTGGGTCTTGGGCGGGAAGCACTTGAGCCCATGTGCGGCAGTATGAACTTGTACCTCAAGAACGGGTTCCTCACTTCATTTGGAAAGGGGTAGTTGCGGTCATGAGTCATGACCAACATTTTCCGGTTGACAGCTTGTTTAGATGGCAGTCGCACTCGCCCACGCCCTTATGGCCAATCAATGAGTAGAACGCGTGCTCAGCCGTGATGAATCTCCTTTCAGGATATCTAGCTGATGTTTGAATATGCATATTGCAGAACATGCAACGCCGAGGGCTCACCCCTCACTGAAGTAAAGGCGCGGTTGCTTCGAGCAGATATGCGTGGCTCGTGCTTACTTGGGCTCCTTTTGCAGGATTCGATTGTTTGTCATTTTGTGTAGGGGGTATTGAGGGCAAGAGGGCACAGGGCTTGCACACGCGCAAAATCACATGCTCACCAAAATCCAGTGTCGTTGGTGGAAGCTACCTGCGCCAAGCCTGGGACAGCTCACAGTTAGACGTTGGCTTGGCCATTCTATGGAACCCTGACAACAGGGTCATCAACAGCAACACTGGCAGCAAGGACACCAAGAACAGCAACAACCGATATCAGAATGCCTTCACTTGCATGTGGCCATTATTTGAGCTGAGGAAAGTTGAAAGCGGTGCACATATGCCTTTATGACTTGGTGGATAGGGATGATAAGGTGGCCGAGATTCGGCTAGCGTGACATTTTGTCGAGTAAGGGTGCATGTTACTCTGAAACACTGGCCAGAAGTGAAATTGGCCAGAGACGATATTTGATAAAGCACAGGCATGTTGACCCAGAGATTGAATGGCACCCCTTTCCTTTTTTCTGGGGGGGTTCTGAACATGGTCAACCTCGCCATGGTTCCAGGTCGGGCAACAGGGTAGCCAACTCTCTGCCCCCGCTCGGCACAGGAAGAGCCCATTGGCGAGGCGAGTGTGGAGCGGTGGCCTTGCGACCGCTGTTGAGGTGTGTGTGTGTGTCGTTTGACTGTAACCTTTAGCCCAAAAAGGGAAAACCATTTTTTTTTTGGGGGGGGCCCTTATTTTTGCATGTTTCATGATTCAATCTTCGAATTCGGGCGACCGGTGTGGGGGGGGAAACCCCGCGCCAAGTCAAAGTGAACGCATATGATGGTTGGGGCACCTTTTTTGGGGGCTCGCGATCATTTCCCCTGATCCATGTTTTTGGTTTTTTGGGCGCATGGCTTGCGCATGTCGCGGTTCCACGTGTGTGGTAGGATCAGGGTTCTGGCAAATGAGTTGTTGCCGAAAATAGTAGAGACACCAAGACAAGCTTCTTTGAAATGCTAAAGTAGTCAGAGGGATTGGAGTCATCTTGGTTTCAGCTTTCGGCCTATTGTCATGGCCCGAAATGGCGATTCCTTGGTTCTTGGGAAGTCAGAGGTTTCGGTCAAACCGAGGCCAAGCTTCGCTTCAGATCCAACCTGGTCTTTTCAAACCCTCATCTCAGTGGCCAAAGTGCAAGTGGCCTTTTGCAACAGATGTCCCGAAACTTAGGCTCAAAACTGAGACCTAAGCCTTCTCGAATTCCAAGACTCACTGCAAGTTCCTGCGAAAACACTAGAACCTGGACATGTGGAGCGTAGTGAGGGACATTATTCTGAACCATGAGGTGTTGTTGATTGTTACAGGATTTTGGCTGGACTCTGTTGTTTCACGGTATTGGTTGAGGTTAAGATTCATGAACCAAATATGTGCCTCCAAATCCAATCTTGTGAACTGCTTCATGCCGCCCTGGGACTGCATTCGAGGTGAACAGAGTTGACACTGCTATTTATTATATATAGGTATATTTCACTACGTTTATATATGTATATATATATACATGATTTGTAGCAATCTAGGCAACCAGCTGCAGAACAGTCTAGAGGAACTTCCCCGCACTCACCAAAATACCAAGGTTTTGGCAAACTTCCTGTAGCCGTCCTGTAGCTTGGGTATGGGTCAAAACTAAACCACGGGACCGCAGGTTTTAGTTCATGTGTCCATTTACCAGATCGAGTTCCATTTCGGGGTCACCCTGTTTTTGACCCCCAGCCGTTTGAGTAGAGACAGCTTCGCGGAGCGAGCCCGCGCATTTCTGTTAGGCGAGCGAGGAGATAGAGCCTCACGCTGCTTGGTGCAATGACTGGCGACGTCTGTGATCAAGAACCTGCATGGTGGCCGCTTTCACAACGAACCCTTCGGGTGAGCTTTGAATCTGGGTATGTCATTCTTGAGGGTTCCCTTTGTTGTGGATTTACAGGGACACCAAAGGGAAAAACGCCATTTAGAAAGGGCCCCCTAAAAGCACACAAACACCCACCCACATGGGGAGACTCCCTCAGAGCATAAAGAAACGGAGACCGGATGGGCATACGGGTAAGATGTGAACCCTTCTTCAATCGTATTGAATCGTTTGGTTTGTCGGGAGGGTGTCATGTTTTGTTTGGGCTCGCTGATTTGCACATTTGGTTGTCTCAGAACTGCTTGTTGGCAGAAACGAAAATATGTCCCATTGGCTTCGGTTTGCCTTCTAAGGGCTCCTGAGCATGCTGCTGTAAGGCTGCATGAGTGGGAAGCGATTGCTTTGCTTTGCACCAGGTCTGTGAGTCACACATACCTCACAGACCCATGTCAATCAAAATGTACTTCGGACCCCAAAGAGTCAAAGCGAGACGTTTCCTCTGAAAATTCACCACATACCTTGACTTTCTATTGTGAGGTCGACTGAATATGAAGCATAACCCGAAATCAGTTTGGCTTACCCGGTGGTTGGATGATAACAAAGAGCTTGCTTTGCTTTCCAAAAGTCGAATGACGGCCAAATGAGTCTTGGGGTACTACAACAACCTTGTTGGTACAACCAAGAGCTACTGGTGTGCCGCTGCTCACTTGCAACACTCATCGACTAGTGTGTGGTAACATGCTCCTGCGCTAGCATGATGCGATGCAGAGCCTGGAATTACCATTTGGAATCCCCCTGCAATCGGCCCACGGAATGTCTTTAGTTTGATTGGTTGCAATAATGTTTGCGCATTTGACAAGACTACATTTGCAATCATTTGCATTTGGAGCATCTCAATACAGATCATGGACTGAATCTCGCTTCTCATACTCGGTGTGAAATGTTCAAACTGTCCATGGGCAGCGGAAGCTATGTGGCTGTGCACATGGTTCGTAATTTCAGTCACAGCTTAGCTCCATCAGGCTGAGTCCAAGCCGGTCGGTGTCATACGCTGGGCTAGCTCAGATGCGGTCAGTTCATGGCAACGGATCTGACCGGTGGGTTTGAGGAGCACCAAGGTCGCAAAGGCTTCTGGGATCTGCTTTGCGAAATTGACATGTCAAGGTTCACTAAAAGTGGACTAGAATCAAAGGCGACATTTGTGCTTAGGCACATAAAGCTGAGGTGGCTTTAAACTTTGCTAGGTCCCCCAGCTAGGTGCCAACTTTTACCCACTTTTTTGGGGGAGGGTTCCCCTACTAAAATAGACTACAGAAAAAGTTGGTACCCTCATTCTAGCCTCTCTACTGGAGGACCTAGTATATATATATATATATGTATGATTTGTTGCAATCTAGGCAACCAGCTACAAAACAGTCTAGAGGACTTTAGCTTTTTGCCAACTAATGGGTTTTCCATTAAACCACTAAAAGTTAAACTTTTAGCAGGGGAGCAGAAAGCAACCGAGAAAATGTGGGGTGGCTTTAAACTTTGGGAAATCCACAGGGCGGATGTTGCGCTTTCAGCCTCGGATGCCTGCCAAGGCCATTCGGCACTCAGGCCCGGGCAGCGGTACGGTTCGGTACTTCTCGCCGCGGGAGAGGTATGGACGTGTGTGTGTGTGTGTGCTCGCTTTTTGAGTGTACCATTTCTTGGGGGAGTTTGTTTTCTTTTTCTGGAGATTAAAAAGAGGATAGTGGCGATATTGGTGTACCAATGAAGGTGTGTTCATTTCATCTGGGCCGGCCTTTCAAGAAGCACAAAGGGAAACTTGGATATAAAGATCTGGGGGGTGCTAGCTCAGGGTTTAGCATACCAGCAGCTAGTAGGGCCAATGTGGTGTGGCCCTTAGAAGTCGTGTGGAGAAGCACTCTGAAGGCACGCGTTTTCAAACCGATGGACTTAGCATTTTCTGGAGGGCGCCTCATTTTTGGGCTGTTGTTTTTTTCGAAGGGCCCCAAACAAAAGTCGCATTTTCGAGACACCCATGTGCCCGAGCCGCTGCGGACAAATTATTTCATCAAGCGGTTCAATGAAAACGAGGCTGTAGGGGCAACCCACGCTGCGCACTTCTTTATCATATGATATGGCTGTGGGTCAAAACCACACCATTTTGGGGTAGGTGTATCACCCATTTTAGATTGTTTTGGTGGGGATTGGGATGTTCACTGGGGGTACGGGATTTTGACCCATGGCCATATGAGCAATGCGGGCTTGAACAACTGATGCCGGGATGGCTTGAGTTGAGCACTCCCGGCAGCAGCGCACATCACTATCTGACAGTCGGTGGCATGCTCATTGCTATGTTTGTACAGCCTCACCGCGACGCAACGTTATGGACTCCCTTTGAGGAACCCCCTATTACGTTGCATATGTCACAGATGTCACACAGGATGTTTCGCCCACTGCAGCAGGCCTCAGCACAGTGTAGGTTCCACGCTAATCTGCTGGATATTATGTTTCAAAGGGTTCACATCCAACGCGCTATGCCCGACTGCGGGTCTTTGATTCTGTGAGTGGCCCAATGAACAATATAGACGCTTCTAAAGTTGTGCGGAAGGTAACCGCAAAGCGACCTGCTTTTGTTGTCATCGCTGTTGGTGTCATTGCTTACACGCGTATATGTGCAGGTGTCTACATATTTGTGAACAGGTGTGCAGGCTTGCCTGTGGAAAGGTCAAAGGCCGAAGGCGTCCCCAACTGCACGGATGTTAAGCCAGCAATGCGTTTCTTTCATGCGTCGGTTTGCGGAGAGGGGTGGGTGTGTGTGTGTGTGTTTGCGCGTGTGTATTTCTGCCTATCTCCCCTACGATGCGTGAGTAGATATGTATACACCCGCCCGTGCACAAATCTAGAGAGTTGCACAACCAAGCGTGCACACGCACACGCAAACGCAGGTATGCGAACACATGGCACACATGCATGCATGTACACATGAAGCACACGCACGCCACGCACGCACACACGCACGCACGCACCCATCCACACACACGCGCGCACGTGCAGACATCTGCATAGCATCCTCACATTTTCACACACAAACACACACACACACACCTTGCTCTCCAAGATATCCCGTTTGTTTGTTTGTTTTCCCGAAAGCATGGCGAAGGGTTCTTCCGCTGGGTTCACTTGAGTTGTTCTCATGAGAGTCATTACAAGGTGTCATTGCAAGGAATCATCATCATGAAAGTCAATGCAAGGAGTCATTGCAAGGAGTCATTGCAAGGAGTCATTGCAAGGAGTCATTGCAAGGAGTCATTGCAAGGAGTCATTGCAAGGAGTCATTGCAAGGAGTCATTGCAAGGAGTCATTGCAAGGAGTCATTGCAAGGAGTCATTGCAAGGAGTCATTGCAAGGAGTCATTGCAAGGAGTCATTGCAAGGAGTCATTGCAAGGAGTTGCAAGGAGTCATTGCAAGGAGTCATTGCAAGGAGTCATTGCAAGGAGTCATTGCAAGGAGTCATTGCAAGGAGCATGCACTTGCAACTTGCACTTGCAACTTGCACTTGACTCCATGCACTTGCAACTTGCACTTGACTCCATGCACTTGGCTCCTTGCACTTGGCTCCTTGCACTTGGCCCTTGCACTTGCAACTTGCACTTAACTCCGTGCACTTGCGACTTGCACTTGACTCCATGCACTTGGCTCCTTGCAACTTGCAATGGCTCTCATGACTCCTTGCAATGACTCCTTGCAATGACTCCTTGCAATGACTCCTTGCAATGACTCCTTGCAATGACTCCTTGCAATGACTCCTTGCAATGACTCCTTGCAATGACTCCTTGCAATGACTCCTTGCAATGACTCCTTGCAATGACTCCTTGAAACAAGCAAGGAGTCAAGTGCAAGTTGCAAGTGCAAGGAGTCAAGTGCAATTGACTTGCGAGGAGTTAAAATCTCTTCTTAGGGCGGCGGGGTAGTGCCGACGACACTACACGAAAATCGACCCTCTGCGGGGATCGGCGTGGTCGAGGTGCAAAAACCCATGGTTTTTTGCGATTTCTAAAGTTCCCGCGCGACCCTCTGCGGGGATCGGCGTGGTCGAGGTGCAAAAACTCGAGGTTTTTTGCGATGTTCTAACCTGCTCGCGCGACCCTCTGCGGGGATCGGCGTGGTCGAGGTGCAAAAACTCGAGGTTTTTTGCGATGTTTAACCTGCTCGCGCGACCCTCTGCGGGGATCGGCGTGGTCGAGGTGCAAAAACCCATGGTTTTTTGCGATTTCTAAAGTTCCCGCGCGACCCTCTGCGGGGATCGGCGTGGTCGAGGTGCAAAAACTCGAGGTTTTTTGCGATGTTTAACCTGCTGCGACCCTCTGAGGGATCGGCGTGGTCGAGGTGCAAAAACTCGAGGTTTTTTGCGATTTCTGCGGTGCTCGCGCAACCCTCTGCGGGAATCGGCGTGGTGGAGGTGCAAAAACTCGAGGTTTTTGCGACTTTTGTTGTTCGAACTTCGGGAGTTGTCTCGTGGTTCGCGCGCTGCTCCCGGAACCGGCGGGTCGCGGGTTCGATTCCTCCCTGGTCCGCGGGCGGGCGTCGCAAGATGCAACTTGCATTTTAAAGCAACTTGCGCAGAGCAACTTGCGCAGAGCAAGTTGCACAGAGCAACTTGCGCAGACCAACTTGCACCGACCAGTTTGCGGAGAGCGCCTTGCCTAGAGCAACTTGCGCAGAGCAACTTGCGCAGAGCAACTTACGCAGAGCAACTTGCACAGAGCAACTTGCACAGAGCAAGGGCCTCCACAAGGCAGTTTCCCGGGCAGCGGGGAAGTCCAGCCACATAAGCTGCAGCGAGGTAAGTACGAGATTTTTCCAGGCAGACAAGAAGCCCAACCAGGCAAGCAGAGGGCTGAGGCAGCCTTGCAGGGAGTTATGGAGGAAGTCCAAGCCGAGATCTGCTTGGCAAGCCCACGCGTGGAATTGCTTCGTTTGTGGGAGGGCCTCCACAAGGCAGTTTCCCGGCAGCGGGGAAGTCCAGCCACACAAGCTGCAGCCAGGTAAGAACGAGATTTTTCCAGGCAGACAAGAAGCCCAACCAGGCAGTTATGGAGGAAGTCGAAGCCGGGCTGCTTGGCAAGCCCATGCGTGGAATTGTGCCATCTACTTTGCTTCGTTTGTGGGAGGGCCTCCACAAGGCAGTTTCCCGGGCAGCGGGGAAGTCCAGCCACACAAGCTGCAGCCAGGTAAGTACGAGATTTTTCCAGGCAGACAAGAAGCCCAACCAGGCAAGCAGAGGGCTGAGGCAGCCTTGCAGGGAGTTATGGAGGAAGTCCAAGCCGAGATCTGCTTGGCAAGCCCACGCGTGGAATTGCTTCGTTTGTGGGAGGGCCTCCACAAGGCAGTTTTCCGGCAGCGGGGAAATCCAGCCACACAAGCTGCAGCCAGGTAAGTAGGATATTTTCCAGGCAGACAAGAAGCCCCAAACCAGGCCATTATGGAGAATCGAACCGGCGCTGCAAGCCCACGCTTGGAATTGTGCCATGTAACTTTTGCCTCCCACAAGGCAGTTTCCCGCAAGCGGGAATGCCAGCCCACAAGCTGCAGCCAGCAAGAAGAGGATTTTTCCAGGCAGACAAGAAAGCCCAACCCGCATTATGGAGGAATCGTAGCCGGGCTGCTGGCAACCCACGCGTGGAATTGTTCCATCTACTTTTGGCTTTCTGTCTGGGAGGGCCCCCCTCCACAAGGCAGTTTCCCGCAGCGGGGAATCCAGCCACACATGCTGCAAAGGCAGCCAACCACAGTTATGGAGGAAGTCGAACTTTGGCAAGCCCCGCGTGGAATTGTGCCATCTACTTTGCTTCGTTTGTGGGAGGGCCTCCACAAGGCAGTTTCCCGGCAGCGGGGAAGTCCAGCCACACAAGCTGCAGCCAGGTAAGAACGAGATTTTTCCAGGCAGACAAGAAGCCCAACCAGGCAGTTATGGAGGAAGTCGAAGCCGGGCTGCTTGGCAAGCCCACGCGTGGAATTGTGCCATCTACTTTGCTTCGTTTGTGGGAGGGCCTCCACAAGGCAGTTTCCCGGGCAGCGGGGAAGTCCAGCCACACAAGCTGCAGCCAGGTAAGTACGAGATTTTTCCAGGCAGACAAGAGGCCCAACCAGGCAGTTGTGGAGGAAGTCCAAGCCGAGATCAAAGCCGGGCTGCTTGGCAAGCCCATCTACTTTGCTTCGTTTGTGGGAGGGCCTCCACAAGGCAGTTTCTCGGGCAGCGGGGAAGTCCAGCCACACAAGCTGCAGCCAGGCAGTGCCTCCACAAGGCCGCCCCCAGGCAGCGGGGAGGTCCAGCCACACAAGTTCCAGCCGAGGGGGGAGTTATGGAAGTACAGCCTTCGAGGAAGTGCAAGCCAAGATCGAAGCCTGGGCTGCTCAGCGGGGAAGTCCAGCTACACAAGCTGCAGCCAGGCAGTGCCTCCACAAGGCCGCCCCCAGGCAGAGGGGAGGTCCAGCCACACAAGTTCCAGCCGAGGGGCAAGGCAGCCTTGCAAGGAGTTATGGATGTACAGCCTTCGAGGAAGTCCAAGCCAAGATCGAAGCCCGGGCTGCTTGGCAAGCCCACGCGTGGAATTGTGCCATCTACTTTGCTTCGTTTGTGGGAGGGCCTCCACAAGGCAGTTTCCCGGCAGCGGGGAAGTCCAGCCACACAAGCTGCAGCCAGGTAAGAACGATATTTTTCCAGGCAGACAAGAAGCCCAACCAGGCAGTTATGGAGGAAGTCGAAGCCGGGCTGCTTGTCAAGCCCACGCGTGGAATTGTGCCATCTACTTTGCTTCGTTTGTGGGAAGTCCAGCCACACAAGCTGCAGCCAGGTAAGAACGAGATTTTTCCAGGCAGACAAGAAGCCCAACCAGGCAGTTATGGAGGAAGTCGAAGCCGGGCTGCTTGGCAAGCCCACGCGTGGAATTGTGCCATCTACTTTGCTTCGTTTGTGGGAGGGCCTCCACAAGGCAGTTAGCCCAACCAGGCAGTTATGGAGGAAGTCGAAGCCGGGCTGCTTGGCAAGCCCACGCGTGGGAATTGTGCCATCTACTTTGCTTCGTTTGTGGGAGGGCCTCCACAAGGCAGTTTCCCGGCAGCGGGGAAGTCCAGCCACACAAGCTGCAGCCAGGTAAGAACGAGATTTTTCCAGGCAGACAAGAAGCCCAACCAGGCAGTTATGGAGGAAGTCGAAGCCGGGCTGCTTGGCAAGCCCACGCGTGGGAATTGTGCCATCTACTTTGCTTCGTTTGTGGGAGGGCCTCCACAAGGCAGTTTCCCGGCAGCGGGGAAGTCCAGCCACACAAGCTGCAGCCAGGTAAGAACGATATTTTTCCAGGCAGACAAGAAGCCCAACCAACAGTTATGGAGGAGTCGAAGCCCGGGCTCCTTGTCAATCCCACCGTGGGAATTGTGCCATCTACTGTGCGCATCGTTTGTGGGAGGGCCTCCACAAGGCAGTTTCCCGGCAGCGGGGAAGTCCAGCCACACAAGCTGCAGCCAGGTAAGAACGAGATTTTTCCAGGCAGACAAGAAGCCCAACCAGGCAGTTATGGAGGAAGTCAGAAGCCGGGCTGCTTGGGGTCCCAGGAAGCCCGGGAGGAGGATAAGCTGTTTGCGGTTCTTAAGCAATGTGTAACGCGGAGTTCGCTTTAGAGAATCCAAATGGAAAAAGACAACCTATCGATACTCAGAACTGTCGATGCTCAGGAATCGCGTAACTAACACTTCGAAGCCGCAGCTTCCTTTTGGGCACCGCTGTCCTTTCCAAACGTTTCTAAGTGTTTGGTCGGCTGATGTCGGCTGATAATATGAATCAGTACGTCTGAATTGTTACGATGGAAATTGAGTGAGTCGTAATCAAAAAGTTTGAAATGAAATGAGCCTTTAAAAAAGTCCGAACACATATGCGTGATGTTTGCAGTTTAATTAACGCTCTTGCTCCGGCTGGCCCGGAAACGGGAGACCCATGTAGAGGACCGAAAAAGCCTCGCAGTCCCCCCCGACGCCTTCCACCCCACTCCACGCCGCTCCACTCCACTCCGCTCCACTCCACTCCACTCCACCCCACTCCCACGCCACTCCACTCCACTCCACGCCACGCTACGCCACTCCACTCCACTCCCACTTCACTCCGATCCACTCACAGAAGAGCCAAAGGGGTCGGCGGACATGTTTGCAAAGTAGATGGCACAATGTTTTTGACCCCCTGGATATTCCCTGATTTTTTGAGCCAGTAGATGGCACAATTCGCCGGATAATTGAAGATATGTGCCAACTGTGAATTGGCATTTTCAAATCACACCGTGCCATCTACTTAAAAATATACGTCGTAAATGTGCCATCTATTCTCCGGGTAGTGTACACATGCCCACATACACCAATAGCTACTGACCTACACATACACACAATTGTGCATTAACATGGCTACGCGTAAGTACATTTTTGCAGATTTGCATGTATACATACACACCTGCACACAGATTCATATACGATTTGAGAGTCATACACAGAGACACACGCGCGAGATACGCCCGATGTGGAACACCCAATGAGGTCTTGAGTTGTGCGACTCCCATCGGCCACCCGTTTGGTTCAGGTGCTCAGGCTTCACGGTCTTCCTGTCGACAGGCGGGAGGGCGAGAATCGACTTGCTCCGCAGGTCGTTATATTCGTTTTGAGGCTCCTCTAAGACGTTGTTTTGATTTCACTTGAAAGGGACCAACTACTACGTGAACCAGGCCACGTTTGGATTCTATCTTAGGCAACATCCTTTGGGGTGGCGGGGCGACCAGACAAGCGCTTGTCCAAACTGAGTGCCGGAGGAGCCACAATCAAAAGCCGCAAGGACAATTGGGACAGGCGCAACCATACGGATCTTTGCCAGTAAGCAGCTTTGCCCCTGAGTTGTGTTTTCGTGTTTCCTTGGATATCCCCGCCAGGACCCGCCAATGGCTGGCCAGGACCCGCCAATGGCTGGCAAATGGTCTGTGGAATGATCTCCCAATGGCTGTTTTGGGGCCATTGCGGGGGTCCTTTTTTGAGATTGTGTATTTTCTTTGGGGTTCCCAAGGTGTTTTCGGGGTTGACGTCAGGTGATCAGCTCGTGGCCAGCAAGGCCTTTTCCTTGGAGGCAGATCTGGGCCGGGCCCGCTACCAAAAGACCGGGATCGGTTTGCAAGCAGAGTGCCCCGTGTTTCCTTCTTTGGGGCTGCTTTTAATCCACGGAGCATCTCGAATGGTAAAAATGGAAATGGGAGATTGCTTCAGGGATCAACTGCCAAAGCAAGGCGCCCTTCCTGGGAGTGGGTGCGTTTGCAAGAGACACACACCCATGTTTTGACCATTTGGGTTGATCTGAGAACACAATTTTCTCCCCCCTACAGTCCGGCAAAATACGCATTCCGTAATTATTCAATCGGCAAAATACAACTGTCATCCGGAAAATGCGGATTCCTTAATTATTCCCATGTGTTTCAACAGCATATGTTGAACTGAGAAGTGGCGTGATTGAGAAGCAATGCGTCCATACTAACTTGAAGTTCAACATTCAAAAGCGTTTGGTGTTGACTAGAACCAACAGGCGATTTCAAACTTGATTGAACGCTAATTTCAAACCATTGGCAGGCCGGGCAAGCACCTGGAAGCGGCGCACGCTTGAAACCATCCGCAACGTTAAGGCCGTGAGAAGACGTTCTCAAATTATTGATTCCACAGTTTGATTGGTTGTGGGGATGTTCGGTGTGAAGGGTGGTTCTTTGGATGCCTGAAAATGATAGTGCACTTCGTATCATCTATCCTTCGCAGCAATATTGCCCTTGCTTTGGGGAGCTGTTCCTTCCCAACCAGTCCATCACTGAGCCTTGTGCACCTTCTCATCCATGTTGGCGTTCTGAGTTGGCCCAACATGGATTCCTGCAATGTCATTGTTGTGTTCCGTGGAGACATTATCCAATCAGGTCTCCCCCCCCACCCCAAGCGAGGCGGTCAACTGTGACGAAGCCAGCAGTCGGCCCCTGAGTTTTCTTTGCGACAGCCGCGCCGTACTTGAACCGACAAACACCTGCGAATGGGCTTTATCTTCGTAAGTGGTGTTGAGGAGAAGCCAGCGAATTTACTATGTATATATATATATATATATATACATAACCCCACCCTCCGCCCTCCAACCCCTCCCCCCCCCTCCATGGTATCTCCCTCCCCCCCCCCAACAGGTGCTGCACCCTTTGCGCACTTTGGGTGGGGCGACCCTCAAAACTCGAGTTTCAACGATTGTCACTTCGCTCGCACAACCCTCTGCGGACTTTCCCACGGCTGACATCCAACTCGTGTTTGTTTCTCAGCTCGCGCGTCAAAACGGGAGCCCTCTGCGGACGCTCGGCGGCCTCAAACAACCCGTGTCTGTTTCACTTCGCTCGCGACATCTGAGGCCCACAGCCGCACGCATTCTTTTCTTTCGTGTTTGTTCTTCTCTCGTCTTCTGTCAGAGAGCTAGCTGTCAAGCAGAGTCCATACCGCGGAAATTACTTCTAAACTCCTATTGATGAGCTAGTCAACCAAGCCCTAAAACCTGTGCGCAGGGCGGGCAGCCAAAACACATCCCAAAAATGCCCAAGCCAACCCTAAGCCGACCGAAAACCAACCCTCAACCATCCCCAAACCAACCCCAACACCCTAAACGAACCCCAAGCCTGCCATTCCACACGGGGAGGAGTAGGGACTTGACCATATTATACGCGGATATATATATATATATATATGTGTTATATATATACTTATCATGCACAACTTGTTTGGGTGTATATGTTGTACGACGTCGCGAGGTGACACTGCTGAACGACAGGCTCATACGTTCCGCCAAGTTTGCAACTGACGGCGTTGGTTCTCCAATCTTGGTTCATGAAGCCGCGGGATTTTGCGACGGCCTGTGCCTGATGCCCATCCCGATTCGGGACGGCTTTGGGGAACTGGTTGGGGGTCTCTGAGATTTTCCCAGCCAAGGTGCTGCACGCCTTAGAGGAGATGACGGCCCTACATTGATTTTGAGAAATGTCTTTTTCCAGTGGCCTACTTCCTTGGCCCTGGTTGCCTGTGGAAACAAAGCGCCTGCTGTTCTACCTTCCATTACGACATGATGGCAAGTAAGACGACTTTTGGCCGCTCGCATTGAGCGTTTCCAGCGGGTTTTGCACACCCTCGCCTAAGATGAACACCACGGCGGTGTGTGTCTATATGAATTTCTGCGCTTGGATATGGCTGCCTGAGACAAGCCTGTACTTTTCTGAAGGAGTGTTGCGGACCTGACGGGTCATCAGGTGTCGGTTTAGGGTGGGAGTAGGGTCGCAGCCTATGACATGTGGTCGTGCCCTTTTGCCAACGCAAGCGGCAATGTGTGATTTCTGTTTAGGAAGGAAGCCGTTTTCAGGTCACCGAGAGCTGATGATTTGGATTGGTTGGCGACGCGCAGTGCCACAGGGGAAGTTATTCCCTGACCTCCTAAAAAGGGCAGTCTATGAAACGGATTGACTCTTGACGCCTGCACCGGAACCATCGACCCATCGACTCCAAGGCCCCTTCTCCGTTTTCTGATCGAGAGCGCGAACCCGTGGTGAAGGGCGAGGACACTGGAGACTCGCTGTCGGAACCCACAGGGCACCGTTGAAAACGGGCCGTGTTCTTGTCCCGCAACCTTTGCACTTATTTGGCAGTTGTCAAAACCATTGGGATCCCATTTTGGGGTAGGTGCACCACCCATTTTAGGAACCAATTTTAGTGGGGATTGGGATGTTCACTACGGGATTTTGACACATGGCCATTTCTTGGCAACTCGACAATTCGTACGTGTGTGTGTGTGTGTGTGAGAGTGTGTGAGTGTGTGTGTGTGTGTGTGCACGCCCAATCAGAAAGCCACACGAGTATCCCTGGCAGCATCGGCTATCTGAATGCTATGGAACTTTCCTGAACGCATCCGCAAGCTGCCCAGAACCTTTCCAGAACCTCCCCAAAGACGGAAGCCCATGCAACGGCGCCATTCGGTGTGTCCATTTTACGTCAGCACCGTTCTTTCTTCCTCTTCTTTGGCGGTTCCCCTAACAAAGCAGAAACAAAAACATTGGGGGCAAATAACCCCAAAACAGCCCATTAGGAGATCATTCCACAGACCATTTGCCAGCCATTAGGGGGGGTTCTGGATATTAACCAGGCTCCCGCCTGCTGCCGCCGACCCTCGGCGCATTAAGGGAAAAGTCACAAGGACCAGTCCTGAAACACGTCCGCAAACCCAGGGACCACTGATAAGATTTTCTACGACCACAAACAAGGATTAACGGAAAAATCAGAAATATGGCAGCTAGTCCGTTAATTGCCGCTTGGGCCGGCTTGCGCCCAAGTCATTTCGAGTTGGCCCGGGAGCAGTCGCCTGTCCCGGGTCGCCCTGAAACTGCCCTCCCGAAACTGCCCCGGCGACAGTGGCCCTAGTGGCCCTGGACCGGTCGCCGGCAGGGACCGGGACTTGGGACCCTGTCCAGGCTGGTCTGAGTCTGGCGCGGTTTGACTCGACGTATTGGACTCTCTTGCAGATTAGATCCAGGGATCCTCTACTACCACAAGGATTAGCGGAAAAGTCAGACAGACGGCAGCTCGGCTCGCGCCCAAGTCACGTTGAGCTGGTCCTAGAAACAAGGCCGTCGGTGCCCCTCACCCGGTCGCAGGGAGGGACTGGACCCTGTCCGGTCCTGAAACACGGGTGCCAGTCCGAGCGACACTGGAGGAAACAGGTGTCTGGAGCTGTTTGAGGTGGCACCGGCGGTTTGAGGTGGGATCCGATACCAGCAGGACTCGATCCTGGGACCGGCTTGGACCAGTCCTGAAAGCGGTCTTGGCCGGCACCAGTCCCAGGACCAGTCTTAGCGGTCCCAGGACCGGTCCCAGGACCGGTCCTGCAGACCAGTCCTGAAACCAGTCCCAGGACCGGGCCCAGGACTGGTTCCAGAGTCCTGCGTCCTGGGACCGGTCCCGGGACCGGTCGGACCGGTTTTGGCTGACTGCAAGTAATCCGAAGCTAGGACTGGTCCCAGGACTGGTCCCAGGACCGGTCCCGGGACCGGTCCCGGGACCGGTCCCGGGACCGGTCCTGGGAATCCACTTTTTGTGACTGATTGAACCTTTTGGAATAAATATGACTAATGTCTGCTCCTTAGATAACAGCGAACAGTTTGGTGCAGGGGGGTCAAAGACTTATGCGGGATGAGGATTCATAAGAGAAACGACGGGGATCCCTATTGTTTCTTTGTAGTTTCCTTGTATGCCGGGTGGGTTGTTTTTTGGTGGTACGTGTTTTCCAGGCTGTGACATATGGACAGTCCCACGTTTCTGTATGATCGTGGCTGGCAAATGCGACACGAACCGACCTTGGGAGGTGGGGAGGGGTCTGTGGAACTGGCGTGCGGGGCTCTTGAATGGGAGGCAGCAAGACGGAAGAGGAGCCATCAGTTCTGGAAAGCCGCGGCTTCTTCTTCTTCTTTTGGGAGTGCTTCTGGCATTCAGCATTGACATCGGGACCACCGTCTTTCCAGTTTTTGGCCCTCAAACCAAACTAGGTCCCCCAGTAATGCCCTTTTACCCTGTTTGGGAGGGTTCCCCTACTAAAAATAGACAGAACCGAAAAAAATCGGAGCGCTTCTAGAGGCGATCTGGATCCTTGTTCCGTCCGGGTCAACGCAGCCGGGACGCTTATTCGGAGTTCTTGTTCCACAGTGGTGCTGAATGCTGGCAATGCCTTTGCAGGACGATTCGTCTGCGACCGATGTGACGGACACGGTCAGCATCTGAGAGAGATTGCCAAATTTAGGGTCCCTGCCTGCTAGCGGAATTGGCATTTGACGCCCCGGTTTTTTCGAGTGCAAGTTGTCCCTGAGCACTGTGGCTTCTATTTTTATGTTTCAGGCCACGATGCAGCCTGCTTCCACTTTTCAATATTCCTGCAGTCGGGGTCAGTTTGGAAGGGGATTGGAGGACGATGACTTTCGGCTTTGCCAATATGAGTATGACGGCTTTTTTTGTAAGCCTGTAAGCCTTACAATACTCCCGCATAAAACGCCTAGTAGAACCACCTTCTCCAACGGCCACAAGGAATCGGTGTTTGGCGCTTCTTATGTGGCCTTGCTGGAGCCACTGAAGAACCTTTTGAGATCCTTTGAGTATCACCTTGACCGTGATAGGGTTTCTTATTCTGGGCAATTCCAATAAAGTAGCTGTTTGAAGGGGCACCATGTGAAGTAATCTTGAGAACCCCTAACACTATTTGCTTCAACGGACTCGGTATTGAGAGATTTATGACCATGGAGAACAAACAACACTAGGCCCCCCAGTAGTGCCCCTTTACCCTTTTTTGGCGAAAGGTTCCCCTGCTAAAATAGACTACAGAAAAATGTGGGTAGCCTTATTCTAACCTCTCTACTGGAGGACCTAGATTATGACCATGGAGAACAAACAACATGTCGGGAGTTGTCACCAAGGTAGGTTTGAGTCGCTTGCTCGTTTCAACCCGCAGGCCTTGGTTGACGTGGTGGGCGGCTTGCTCAAGCGTGCGGGGGAGGCTGGATCGGCAAGAACTCCGGTGGGTTCGTCTCGAAATGAGGGCACCACAAAAACCGGTTGCATCCTTTTTGGCCCAACGGCTGAAAGCTATGGAGTCTCTGCCCAGATAGGCTGTGGGGTGGTTTGGGGCAGCTTTCAGGAGGGTTCTGGAGGGTTCCAGGGGGTTCCGGGGCCAAACGGTGGCTCAACACCAACATGAGCCTGTCTTTCTTGAGGGCAACATTTCAGCTTGGTGCAAAAATAAAGACAAAGGAATAAGGCCTTTTGAAGTGGTTTTCACGCATTTTGACACATAGAAACCTGTGACTGATGTTTGTTCCAATTGGGAGGGGTACAGATGAAGCCCCTAAGATGAGACTCCTCCAAACATGAGACAGGAAAGACAGCCAAGCATCCTGACTGGCGCAAGCAAAAAGAATCGAAGACGAAGACTTCATCCAAAATGCGGAGGGCCCCTTTTCGAAGACAGGTTCTACGAGGAAGCCAAAAGGAAACCAACCAATTGGAGTTTTTTTTTTTTTTTTTTTTTTATGGGAGGCTCTAGTAGCGAGCGTTTCACAGTGGTTCTCTTCAAATGAGGAGTTGAGAGGAGTCCCTCGGAAACAGATCGGGAAAAGAACCGGGTAGGCGATCCCCGATCTTCAGCTCTTGTCTAGGTCCCCCAGCAATTGGTGCCAACTTTTACCGTTTCTTTTTTGGGGGAGGGTTCCCCTACTGAAGTAGACTACAGAAAAAAAGTTGGTGCCCTTATTCTATCCTCTCTACTGGAGGACCTAGACCGGGTACCCAGGCGATGCCCTACGATTTTCAGCTCTTGTCGTTGTTTGCACCCTCTGCGCTCATGACAGATCGCGTGGCGGTAAGCAGAAGCCCCTCGAGAGGTTGCCTCTGCTTGAGTTGCCACAGCACATCGCCTCGGATGGTGGACACCTTTCCGTCTAGACCTGTGCGCTCTTGGCCCAGGTGCTGCATCGCATTATTAGCTCCTGACCAACGGCATTTTGTTGGGACCCGGCATGTCGGACATTTGCCCCACTTGGTAGGCTGCAAAATCGTATCTTCCTGTCTCACTTTGGGTGAAGGTCTTCATGAGCTAGACCAAGGAGGTGCCTCAGCCACCTGGTTGTTGTCATCCGCGAATGTTTCAGAGTATGGTACGTTTCTCACATTGCCATCTCCGCCATCGCCAGCCGCTGTGCAAACCACGACTTCATGCGCCCGGAGCGTCAAGGTCGACCACGATGTCCACCCCATAAGAGGCCCCAGTGCACAACTGCTAGGTCCCCCAGCAATTGGTGCCAACTTTTACCGTTTCTTGTTTGGGGGAGGGTTCCCCTACTAAAAATAGACTGCATAAAGAAAACTATATTAAACAAATCGGGCAACCCACTTATTCTAACCTCTCTGGAAATTGACCGGCTTGCACAAAGACGGCTGCGTCACCTGGCCAGCGACCGTACTTCCTGCCTCGGGCCGACTCCTCGAGCGAAGCATGGGCACTGTGTTCGTTTCTTGGGTCAGCGGTCGGTGGTCATCCAGATCGAACACGACTCAAGCCACCTGTTCGAGACCAGCTAAGCTTTTGCGCGCCAAGCAGCACTTTGCCAAGTCTTCCATGCCTGATGTAGGCACGCCGTGCCTGTGCGGTATCCTTAAACCGAAGATTGCAAGTTCATCTCAAGCTGGCTCAGTGTCGCGGCCAGACAACAACTAGTCACAACGTGTACACATGAACTCAATGCAGGATACTTGGGCACCAACCACACAAGATGAATATCGAAAGCTGCGTGCTGACAGCTGCGAGTTGCTTGTAGGACAGATGCCAGCCTTCGGTCAGCATCTTCAATGGGTGTTTGCATCGTGGTTTTGCTTGCCGGCATAGGGCGCAACCAAGCAACAAGGTGCGGACTGCTGCTCTTGTTCAGCAACTTGGAAAGTGTATCGGAGGAGCTGGATGTGTCCTGCACTGAAGCCAAGAGGCCAGCTGACCTGCACGTGTGAGCCCTGGCAAGCACTCGGCTGCCAGTGCCACACGTCTCCTTTCTCACCTTGGACTTCTTCCGAGCCAAAGCAGCAACTGCCCGGAAGTCCGCCGGCAAGGCTGCGCAACAGAAGGCACACGTGCCTTCCGAAGCTTGGAGCTCAGCTTCCAGAAAGCACGAGAAGACATGCACGTGAGCCTTGGACTTGCGGTGAACACCTTGAGTTCCAGAACTTCTTGTTGACACCTGTTCTGTCGAGACCTTGCAAAGGCCATATGCTCTTGTTGGCAGCGCAAGCAGGGGCTCCACAATCTTGTCTCGCGCCCTTGTGGTCCGTGGTAGTCCGCCCAATTCTTTTCCGTACTGTGTGTCTGCGCGCAGGAGGCTCGAGATTTTAGGCCGGCCAAGCTTGCCTGTTCTTTGCCACTAGGTCCCCCAGTAGGGCCCTTTTACACTTTTTTGGGGGAGGGTTCCCCTACTAAAATAGACGAAACAGCAAAGAAGTTGGTACCCTTATTCCAACCTCTCTACTGGAGGACAAACACTTGTTCTGTGTTCGCTGAAGCCGGCTCTTCGGTCCGCTTGGAGCTCTCCTTTTGCCGAGCTGCTGCTCTCTACGGAGTACATCAACTTGGCAGACGAAGCGCGCGCGTCCCATCTGTGCGGCGGCAACCGGCGTTCTCACTGAACTGAGACTATGATTCTGGAATTTGGCAGTCCGAAGTAGACATGAGTGTGTCTCAAAATGGGGGACCCCTTTTTGGATAGGCCTTCAAAGGAAACCCAAAAGGAAAACGCTCCAAAGGGTCTCCAATTGTGAGATTCACCTCAACGCTCCTTAAGGGATCACCGTTTGGCCAAGGTTAGGATTGTTCTTGGGAGATGGGGTATGTTCCAGGAATCAGGAACCCTGATGTTTAATCTTTCAGCCTGCAGTTGCTTCTTTTAAAACAGGCAAATATATGTTATTTTTAGGGTCAAACCATATGTTTTTGTAATCGAAGCTTGTTCAACTCGTTGTTGTTGTTGTTGTTGTTGTTGTTGTTGTTGTTGTTGTTGTTGTTGTTGTTGTTGTTGTTGTTGTTGTTGTTGTTGTTGTTGTTGTTGTTGTTGTTGTTGTTGTTGTTGTTGTTGTTGTTGTTGTTGTTGTTGTTGTTGTTGTTGTTGTTGTTGTTGTTGTTGTTGTT